GTACAAAAATTAAGCCTTATCAGCCAGACAACACCAGGTACCAGATTATAAAGCTAACTAGACCAGCATCTACCACTACTCATGTTTAATATCTTGGCTAATAATTTAGGGTCCAATCCAAGTCTGTAATATAAACATAGTACAAAAATTAAGCCTTATCAGCCAGACAACACCAGGTACCAGATTATAAAGCTAACTAGACCAGCATCTACCACTACTCATGTTTAATATCTTGGCTAATAATTTAGGGTCCAATCCAAGTCTGTAATATAAACATAGTACAAAAATTAAGCCTTATCAGCCAGACAACACCAGGTACCAGATTATAAAGCTAACTAGACCAGCATCTACCACTACTCATGTTTAATATATTTGCAGCCCCCCCCCCACCTGAAACGAGTTGTGAGTGAATGTTAACATGGCAGCTTTCGTAGCCCCCCCACACCTGAAACAAGTTCTGAGTGAATGTTAATATTGCAGCTTTCGTAGCACCCACATGAAACAAGTTGTGAGTGAATGTTAACAGTGCAGCTTTTAAATTAAACCACTTGGTGTAAAAATAAATTATTATCAACTTTGAATTACTTAGCAGAAGACAGAAGAAGAATATCCATCTTATTCTCTGTAAGGAATCAAGTTGTGCAATTCTAGCCTTTCATTCATTTCTTTAAAATTTCTTCCAAGTATTTTCATTTTCTAAGTTTTATAAATGCATTTACATTTTGTATTTGTTGAAGAACTAAAGAAATAAAAAAAATATTTTCACATTACAAAATTACCATTTCAAAAAGAAAGAAAAAATCAAATCCGATGAAATTTGTGCATCTAGCCATTGTTTTTGTTTATTTATTCAGCTAGTTGTTTTTCCCCAGATATAAATTCATTGTCCTAGTTGACACCCATGCCACTATCTGTCTCTTAGTTCTTTGTTTTATCACCTGTTAATTTATAAGAGCTCTTTCAATAAAGTCATCCAGGACATTTTCCAGGACTCTGTTGTAACAGTCCGTTCACGGAAAACAAAGGAGGATGCTGAAGATAAATTGAAGAGGGGCGCAAGTCACAGTCACAGTCAAGCAAGTTTATAGATTTACTACAACATAGAACTGACGTAACCATACAACATTGAGGCGTGTGAACCAGCAAGTTATCAGTTTATGTGTGAGTTGAACAGAATTCAAAATAATGCCATGCAGGGTTTAGCAGCTTTTGCTGTGCTCACTTTAATGAACAGAGCCATTACAATTTGGTTTGAATATTTCAATTTGGTTTGATATTTCAATCCAATTTGAATATTTCAATTTGGTTTGAATATTTCAATCTAATTTGAATATTTCAATTCAATTTGAATATTTCAATTATTCAATTTGGTTTGAATACTTCAACTCAATTTGAATATTTCAATTTGGTTTGAATATTTCAATTTGGTTTGAATATTTCAATTCAATTTGAATATTTCAATTCAATTTGAATCTTCTTAGTATAACACATACCTCCAGACACTGGTGCATCCATAAACACACAGCCTTTTTTCTCAGCCAATGCTGCCATATCTTTAGACACTGTGGGATCTATTGTACTATTGTCAATCAATAAACTGCCTTGCTTTATGGAACTGTTGAATAAAAAATACATAATTATAGAAAATTTTATTTCCATAACATTTATTAAATGACCTTAGATTTGCACACATGATGTGAAATTCTGAGCAGGGCAGTTTGTAACAAAAAAAAATTTGACAATAAATTATATTTATGGACCAATAAATTAATGAACTCCATATAAACCAATATTGAACTCCATACAGACCAATAATGTGCAAATATGAAAAATAATCAGATCCATATTGACTAATAATGAACTTTATATGAACCAATATTATATAATGAACTCTATATTGACCAATTACCTTAATATGCCATCACTTCCTGCATATACACTCTGTACACGTGTACTAGATGGTAACATTGTTATAATTCGATCTGTACGCTGTGCAACTTCAGCTGGTGATTCTGCTACCTGTGCTCCTAAGTCTTGTATGGGTGTTATAGCTTCGGGGTAGACTTCATAAACAACGAGTGCGTAACCGTGTTTTATCAAATTCTGTGCCATGGGTCCTCCCATGTTACCTAAACCTATGAATTCTACAGGTGAACATGCATGAATAATTAAATTTACAATAAATTAAAATAATTAACACATCCCTTATTTCAAAAATGTCTTTGTGCCAAGCTACAGTTCTGGCCATTGAATGTCACTGTTGTTCCTCCTGAAATTTTTTGTATGTGCAAATTGCAAGTGCTAATACTGACATTGTAGCACATTATTGCCACAAAGTTATATTCATGTTTGGGACTACATGATAGGGCTGTGCGGCCATCTCTCTATCAAATGGCAAGTTTAATGCGCTATCCTGGCGTCAGTCAGGCTCGGTCGAACACAAGCACCTGTATACATTTACTAAGGTTTCCTCAAAGTCACATTTGTTAGTGAATGAATCTTGGCCAGTGGAATTGGCCTTTCCATTGAGTCTGTGGCACACTCACCTAGTGTACATGTATGTGCCAACCTATTTTCTGTTCTGCCAAAGGTAGGATTTGAATGTGGGTCTACCAATCATGAGTCTGATGTGACAACCACTATGTTACAAGTGATTGGTCTTTTATAATATCAATGGAGACATTCGAACAAGGATGCGTTAACCTTTACACCATCAGATTCTCTCACCCAGATTTTTCTGCACTTTTTTGGATTTGGATATTGACCTGCAACAAAAATTAAAGAAAACTCAAGAAAATTGATTTTCAATGGACAAACCTACCTAAAGGCATTCTACCTTAAAGAAATCTTAGGCCTTGCACAGCGACAACAAAATGTTTCCGGTTTGTTTTTTTGGGTGATGCGATTATTTGTTATTTGCCGGTGCAATATTTTCTGGTGTACAAACTTTGTAGTTTCATCAATTCATCAACACAGGGCAATGAGCATGATGCACCCTGTTTCCACTTTGGCTTGTTTTTTTTTCTTAGTGCATGTTCACGTAAAATCGACCTCTCACTAATGTATTAATACACTTTATACTTTGCATGATTTGGTCAACGCGAAACATTATTTTTTCTAAACATTTTCTGAGACCATTTTTATCAACGCAGAATTATTTTTCCAGACAAAATGAGCTTCGTAATATCTGCCATAACATCGCAAAGGCGATTTTTCGGTTCACATTTTTCTAAAAAAAAAATCAAATCCTCCATAAGATCGCCCAGGGCGGGGTATCAGCCTAATCCGGTAGGCCTTAGTGACCACCACAGTGGATATCAAGATAAAAAACACAAGTTTTGTTGTATGCCTTAGTGACCACTACAGTGGATATCAAGAAGATAGCTCTACTTTTAGCAATGCACATTACAATAAAATAACAGAAGATATCATTAGAAAATGAACAATTTGTATACCGGTAGTATCAAAGCAATGGGACTTGCTGTTTTCAACAAGAATTCAAAAATATCACTTTTCACAAAAAATGACAAAAATAATCATCAAAATTAGAGAATTAAAGATATCATTAGAAAATGAACAAATCTGAGAGAGGTCCACATGTAGTACCCATATATGTAATATCAAAGCAATTGGACTTGCGGTTTTTAACAAGAAGTCGAAAATATCACTTTTTACCAAAAATGACAAAAATATTCACTAAAATTAGAGAATTAAAGATATCATTACAAAATGAACAAATCTGAGAGAGGTCCACATGTAGTACCTATATATGTAATATCAAAGCAATTTGACTTGCGTTTTTTAACATGAAGTCGAAAATATCACTTTTTACCAAAAATGACAAAAATATTCACCAAAATTAGAAAATTAAAGATATCATTACAAAATGAACAAATCTGAGAGAGGTCCACATGTAGTACCTATATCTGTAATATCAAAGCAATTGGACTTGCGTTTTTAACAAGAAGTCGAAAATATCACTTTTTACCAAAAATGACAAAAATATTCACCAAAATTAGAGAATTAAAGATATCATTACAAAATGAACAAATCTGAGAGAGGTCCACATGTAGTACCTATATATGTAATATCAAAGCAATTGGACTTGCGGTTTTTAACCAATCTGATTAAAATCTGATGTAGTGTACGGGCTTTAATTATTTTGGCTATAAACTTATTTTAATTTTATTTTTTATTACTTTTGTTATTAATGCCCTTTTATTTTATTATTTTACTTTGATTTTGATTTTGTGATTTTTTTTTTAATTCTGCCCTACCTACATCTGATCCGACGCCAATATAAGTCCCGTTCAAATCTCGCGTAAGTAACAGCCAATCACAGCCCCCCTTTTATACAGGCTG